TCTGAAGGATCCAGACCCGAAACGTCAGCCTTCCTGCTCCTCTGATGCTGCTTGGCCTGCTGTGTTCATCCAGCTCTACACCTTGTTATCTCAGATTCTCCAGCATCGGCAGTTCCTACTATCTCTACATGTGCATAGATGTTTCTGTTTGATTCTGCAATGTATCTCACTCATTGCTGATCAGGATCTCAACTTGTACATCTTCAGCCCTGTAGGTTAAAAGGTTGCAGAGCCCCTCGACCGTCTGCGCATATGTCCACTGCTGCCACCTGGTAAACAAAGAAAGGAAAGCGGATGCTGTAAATCAGAGACAGAGACAGAAACTGCTGTTAAGACTCACCAAGTCTAGCAGCATCTGTGGAGAGAGAACAGAGGATGGGTTTCGGATCCAGTGATCCTTCCTCACTGAGCTTGTTGCTGCTGCCACCTGGTGGCGGTGTGCGTGAAAGACCGCGCATGCTCAGTAGTACAGCAGCGCCGGGCCGTGGATCACGTGGTCCCAGGTGCCGCCGCAACGACGCTTATTGGGACCGCCATGTTGCTGCCGCCTGGCGGCGGTGTGTTTGCGAAGGAACGCGCGTGCTCAGTAATCCCGCAGCGAAGGGCCGTAGATCACGTGGTTACACGTGCTGTGGCCCCGCCCCTCCCTCAGCGGCCGCCATGTTGGTCGGCCCCGGCCGCTTGTGGCCGTTGTGTGTGTGTCGGCTGTTGAGGGTCCAGTGCGGGCGGCTGCGATGGCAGCAGCAGCAACACAGCGGGCCGAAAGAGCCTTCATCGGGTCGGAGAAGAGAAGAAGAACCATCCGGGAGAGGGGTCTGTTGGCGGCGGGAGAAGGTGATGGTGGAGGGGGATGTGCAGCCGCTCAGTCAGGAACCGGCTTCAAAAACAAAACAAGCAAAACACAGCCAGCTACGTCTCCCTGCTCCCTGTCCTATACCTCTCTCCGTGTTTTAAAACTGCTGATTGTATTGAGAGCTTTACACAGTCACCCATTCCCATGAGCTGCATCCACCCACACAGCCCCTTTACAACAAGTTAAACTGCAGCCTCAGAGACCTTCACCTGGCTCTTCATCTTCATGTAAAACGTTGCATTTCATGTCGAACAAAAAATGTTGCTTCCAGCCGCCGATTCTTTGACGTTTCGGTAATATCTGTTGATTACGTACCCACACCTCTTTGTTAAACACTAAATTGTTAAAAAAAAATGAAAAGTCTTCCCACCCACACCATACTTCTAATGTCAAAACCGTGGCCTAATTAATCATTCCTCTTCTCCATCAGGTGATGCAACGAATAGTCTATTTATCCTGCTGACCAGCAAATTGGCGGTATTGCACCGATAAAATTAAATTATAAGATTGGAATATTAGGATTTCTAACATAAAATTAATTAGTTTACCTTATGAAGTGAAAATGGGCAGTAAATGCACCACTGAAGAAAAATAATACTTCTAATAAGTTTTCAGAACTTACAGATCTTCATCTGGGTCTGCTTGCCTGTTTTCTCCCTTTTCAAACTGAAGAGCCATTTTTTGTCCAGAATTTTCATTTTTTCATGTAGTTTCATAAACCTTATCACAAAATTTGAAAAGATCCATCAAGGTAATATCTTGTTTTTTTCTGGTAGCAGTAACATCGTTAAATATAGAATTCTTTTTCTATTTAAAGCCAGGAGCCAACTGACTTGTAGGAAAGATTGGCTATGTCTTTTTAGATTTTTTTTTCTCCTTTTCTCTTTAATGTATAACCACAATTATTATTCTTTTGCAGGACAACTATGATCTGACCAAATTCCCTGTAGAAAATATTAGAAATTTCAGCATCATAGCACATGTAGACCATGGGAAAAGTACACTAGCAGATAGACTATTGGAAATAACAGGTATGTTGTATTTTGCATAACAATGCTAAATGTTATGTGAAAGCACGAGGAACGGTGGTGGTGTACCTGATGTGGGTGGAGAACTATTTGGCAAACAGGAAACAAACAAAAGGAATCAATGGGTCTTAATCCCAGTAGCAGATAGTGATCAGTGGGGTACTGTAGGAATCAGTAAACCCCAGCTACTCTCAATATATGTTAATGAATTAGATGAGGCAACTAAATGTAATATCTGAGATAACAAGGTGTAGAGCTGGATGAACACAGCAGGCCGAGCAGCATCAGAGGAGCAGGAAGGCTGACGTTTCGGATCCAGACCCTTCTTCTGAAGAAGGGTCGAGGCCCAAAACGTCAG